GTATTTCCAGTAAAACAATAATCTTATGCCCAAATTTCACATATATGAATAAAAGGATAATCATATCTCAAAGTTTATTTAACAACACCATGTAATTGTTAACAAAACTAAACTACGGAGTACCAATTTATTTTGAATTGATCATGCAATTGATCTACGTAGCAAAACAAAACAAATTATGTAAATTATATGTTTGAACAGATGCATAAAACAGATAGAGACATACATGTTTTGAATTTTTCTTCCATATGAAATCCTCACATAGTAATGACAAACATAGTGAGAAATAAGCAGTAAAAAAAATTCATATACAGGTACTTAAGCAAAGCACAAAAGCACAACGGATGAGATAGTTTATAGCAACTATGGGAAAAGCAATACCGTTCACCGGAGAAAATTGGGATCGTGCTGATAACGTGTTAAATGTTTGATGCCCGTTAGCTCTTAGCCGGTGGATTTGCAGGGACAATGCAAAATGTAAATAGACTATGATATGAAGTAGAGAGAGTATGAGAACACCAGGAAAAGATTGTCTTTGCATTATCAAGAAAACAACCTTTTATAGTACAAAGAGATGTAGGTTACAAATCACTACATAATGACAAATTAATCATAATAAAGGGACATAATGTCCATAATAAATATATTTTGTAACAGTATGTGGTATTTTATTCTTGGGTTTCATACCACAAAATAGGGACATAGTTTTGTTGGATTGCACATGTCCTTGCTGAACCTTAACTCGCTCTTGTGATAGCAATTATATGATATGAGCAAAAATATTTTGATCTATCACATCATATGTCTTAAGTTGAGCTATAGTCTTGAACTATAAATAAGTTTTGCCTACAAGGCGAATTCATAGCACTAATTATTGGCTTATATAACTATGACAATGTATATGACTCTAGTATTTGTCCAAAGTCAAGCCTATTTATAGTGCTAGTTTCTGTTATAGAAAATATTTGACATGATTCTTGAATATATTGGGATTTAAAAGATGATAGCTCTCAATTTTGAATATATATTTATCCAGAAGGTAAATTAAGACCTCTAATTTTCCTATGTCACCCCTTAAGCCAAACCTTGATAATGATTATTTGATCGAAAATGATTCTCAAATCCTATGTCAATCCTGGAAGGGTTGTTATGATAAGAAGCAATTATAATCCTCCCTTAACTAAATTTAAGGTTGTAGGATGTTTTTACCTAGATCTGACTCACTGCATATCACAATTATACCCCTTAACACCCAGTACATGGTTTTAAAACAAACATTTCCCTATCTGCGTTATTATTTTTAGTTTAGTGTGCAGTTTATTTTCACATGTCACCACCATTGTGTACCTCTAAGGGCTATCAAAGAAACTAGGTATATATGTTGTTATAAACCTCCGTCTGTTGTTTAAATACCTAGCTTTTATGTGTGCATAAATAAATAAATAAATAAATATATATATATATATATATATATATATATATATATATATATATATATATATATATATATATATATATATATATATATATATATATATATTTATTTATTTATTTATTTATGCACACTGATAGTACTAATTCCACGTAAAGCGGTCAAAGTAATAATACGACCAAATAAAGCAAATTAATCTTTTATTGATCGTGTGAAAGGACCTAATACAATCTAGGTGGCTATTCCGATGGCCGACTGACTGTGGTCGGGATGCTCTGTAAATAGCCTATCGATCGTTCCAAAAGTCCCTCACACTGTTGCCGCCGTGGGTATTTATAACCGCTAGGCCGGAGACACAGCTCCGGCCGGCCGGCATGTAGCCCACGTAGCAACCACGTGTCTTCACCCCGCAAGCCCTGCCTGTCAACGCCTAACGCTGCCACGTGCCTCTTCTCGACTCTCTCGTCTAAGGGCTATCGATCGGGAACTAAAGACTTCTGTCAGGCACGACCGGGTTCTTCTAAGAATATCCGACCTGTAACCTGCATAAACAAGAATAAAATACGTGGCACGTCGGTCGGGGTATTCCCTACCAAGAGCCCCCCAGCCCGGGCCTTTTTGACCGCCCGGGAAAAAATGGGACGGGATGAAGAAGTCCAAACGTCCGCCGCCACCCGACCGGACAGCTGTCATTCTGTCGTGCCACGTGTCAGCTTCTGCGCACCTCGGAGTCCGGAACGGTCACCTCGCGCAAGTGGGCTGTTTCCCGCCCAAAAGTTCTCCTATAAATAGGCCATTCTGAAATTCATTTGAACTTCTACTAACCCTCTCAGTCGATCAGAGCATCCCGAGCAGAAAGCTACAAGAGTCGGTCGAGCAACTAGAATCTCAGGACTTTCAGCTAACTGCAACCATTCGGTAAGTTCTCTTTCCTTCAGCTTTTACTTTTTTCTTTTCGTTATCTAGCGATGGCCGACTACGGGCCTTAACTGACCACGACCGGGTCGTACCCGACCCTAACCCGACCACCCTTTAGGAAGACAGCATGTTGGATACAGACAGCCAGAATATCTCGGGCGCGGACTACGACGACGCGGTTGAGCAGCTCAACGAAGAGATTGACGTCGAAACATCTTCACCAGAGGTCGTTCAACGACCACAAAGAGCCTCCGAGCGGCAAAGGTCGTCCAGCTCGGAGGGGTCATCTAGCTCGAGCGGATCGAGCAGTGGGAGCGGCGAGACTACAACGAGCGAACGACGCTCCTCGACCGAGGCTGCTCGGGAAACGCCGACCCGGGTAATTGGGGATTACCCCCATGCAGCACCTACGACTGGAGGTCGGGAGGCCACACCCGAGTCGGTCAAGGAAGACCCGGCTGCCCCGCCCGCACCAGCCAACGGCGAGTTCATGTTTTTGAACAGAGAAAGCGTCGAGCAGCAAGAGAGCTTGTTGACGTCAGGAGAAGCGTCGAAGATCTCCGCCTTACTCACCGGTCGGGTTCGTTTCGACACCTGTCGGAGTCTGGGGAATATCATCGAGCGACACGAAGGCAAGTGGATCGGGATGCACAACCACTCACTCTTTGCACCGATCCAGATCCCCTTCTCCGCTCTCTTGACCGCGTTTCTGGGTACTACCGAGTGGTCCCGGCCCAGATCTGCCCGAACGCGCATATGATTCTAGCTTGCTTTCCACAAATATGCGCTCGGCACGAGGTCGCGTGCACGATGGAGTTGTTCAACTTCATCTACCAAGTAAAGACCCTGCCGGCCAAATATGGAGGTGGATTTCTGATGATTCAGTCCCGGACGGGCCTATGCACGATCGAGAGTCTGCCCGGGAACAATAAAGGCTGGAAGAACAGGATCTTCTCGGTCGAGTATGACCCGTGGATCCTCCCGGTCGAGAGAACGTGGAGCACTCATTACCGAAAGCAAGTTGTGCCGGTCGAGACGAAGGCCCTCCAGGATGCCGTCTCCAAGATCTCGAGCAAGATCCACGAGTATAAGATCTTCCGCCCGAGGGAGTGCTATGACGAGGCCCGACTACCACCGCCGCGGTATGATCTCGAGGAGAAGTACTTGCCTGTGCCAACGGGCGTGACGATTGCAGGGGCGGCTACCCGGGTTGAGCCGGCGAACGAAGGTCTAACACTAACTGATCGTCCCCGACCCTAACTCCCCGATCACTCTCCGACCTCGGTCTAACCATTTTGTTTTTTGTTTGCAGAAATGGCGGGCTTTGAAGAAGATGAGGCACCCCGAGCCCCCCGAGCCAAGATCGTGCTCGGGAAAAAGAAGACAAAGGCCAAGCCAGCCGGGGAACAACAAATCCCGACCGCCTGGCCGATTGGCGCATCCAAAATCGTCACCACCGCCGAAGGCTTTGTGGTCGAGGGTTTTGACGTCCTGGTCTCCCGGGTGGCTGCTCGGAAAGGCAAGGAAAAGGCGACCGAGAAGGAAACCGAGGACGGTGGCGCGCTGAAGCGCTAGAGGAATCAGCGCAGCCCGAGCCCGAGCCCCCTGGTTAGGGCCATTGCGGGTGATGCGTCTATCCTCACCCGGATCGGTAATTCCGGGCCGGTCAGGGAAGATATGACGAAGATGACCCCGACCCAAGTGGCCGAGATGATTGGCCATGATCTGGCTGAGGTAAGAACTTTTTGTCTTCGTACTTTCATATAACTGTCTCTGCTTGGGCTAATCCCGATCGTTTTATTTCTAGGTATCCCGAGCAACCCAATTCCTCCAGCACCGAGCGCGGCCAACGAGGCCTATGCACTGAAGAAGGTTGCCGACCGGCGACTGGGGGAGATTACCGAACTCCAGGTTGAATTGAAGAAAGCCAAGGAGGGTCGGGCAGCGGCGGAGAAGGCCGCCCGGGAAGCGAAGGGGGCCCAAGAGCTGGCCGAGAAGGCCGCGAAAGAGGCTCTCGGGGAGGCGAAAGATCTCAAGGCCCGATTGGGCAATCTTGGCAATTTGGCGCAATTCATCTACCGGGACGAGGCGTCCGGTACGAAGTTCCTCCGGGAGACCCGGAAGACGAAGGTCGGGGAAACGCTGATCTGGCGTTCAGGTGCTGGGCGTTCAAGTTCGGCCAGCGGAAGATGCGCGCAAAGACCCAAGCATTCATGGAGGAAGCTCTCGAGGGCGAGGATCTTCAGCTGGTCTTGACGACCCTACCCGATGAAGTCGCCGACCCCGGCCCACCGCCATTCGGTCCCGAGGAGGATGAGGCTGAGCCGAGCGATGCTCCGAAGAAGTAGTTTAGGTTTACTTCTTCATTTTTGTGCAAGTGAACTCCATCGGGAGCCCAGTCCCGATTTGTACCGGGCACATTTTGAATTAATGAAATTGTTTTTTGTCCATCTTGTTTCGTTCGGTTTACTTTCAAGCGTTTGCTTTTGTTTGTTCGTATGCCGGTCGTCCTTTGCCAGACCATTCATCCTAATGAACTGGTCGTGCGTGTCCCGACCCAATGGCCTTTTGGCCTTTTGAAAACTCGAAGAACTTTTTTGGCCTCTTCGATCGGGTTTTTCCCGATCACCTGGCCTTGTACATCGAAAACTCAAAAAAGTTTTTCGGCCTGTCCATTTTGGGTCTTCCCGATCGCCTGGCCCTTGGATTTCCTTCCTTCCTTCACCCTAGCCCCCACACTGTTGTGCCCACAAGACACGAGTGAGTGCAACAGTGGAAAGAAGTTGGACGGATCGGGGAGTTTTTGGTGTAGCTCTGGTTTCCCCGATCGATGGCGTGACCCGAGCGTCCGCCGAAGATGAGCGCAATAGCCAGTCTTTAGAATTTGATCGGCCAAGTAGTAGGTGGCTATTAGAGCCAATTAGGTAGGTGGCTATTAGAGCCAATTAGGTAGATGGCTATTAGAGCCAATTAGCTGTACACCCCTATCGGTCGGGACCGAGGGAGAGGTGTTATGTTGGGCGAAAAGCCCCTCTTCATTGCTGATGCCGAGTCTCGATCGGGTAGTTTCCAAACACAGCTGGTTTGGGAAGCAGATTTAGAACAACCTACTTCATGCTTAAATAATTTAAAATAACCGATCGGGCCGCCGTATGCAAACGGTCGAGAAATCACCAATCGTATATACATTAATAACTCCCGTTTGCAGACGGTTAGGAATTTACAAATAAACAAGCATTAAACGATGAAAGGGCCCACTCGCAGGTCTAAGCCCCCACTCCATCTACAATTACAAACACTAATGCCTAAAGAGGACGAGGTGCTCGGAGTTCCACATGCCCTCGATCTGTCTCCACGACCGTGATGATATACGGACATTCTCAATTTTGAGCTAGCTTCCCGCCTTCCAAAGGCTGACTTGCCTCTCGACGACGTAGAACATAGTCTCCAACTTGGATACCGAGGGTTAACCCGAACGTCTTTCGAGCTCTTCACTCTTTTCTGGTACTCAGCCATACGCCGAGCGGCTAGCTCTCTCTTCTCTTCGACTCCGTCGAGATCCACGACCATAAAATGTTCGTTTTCCTCGGCATTGTAAGATCGCTCCCTATCGGTCGGGATCCATGCCTCGATCGGGAGACGAGCCTCGGCCCCATAGACTAGGGCGAACAGAGTCTCCAAAGTTGCCTCCTTCGGGGTCGTTCGATAAGTCCAAAGAACATAGGGGAGCTCATCGGCCCAGCTACGACCGGCGGAGTGCAACTTCTTCATCAGACCTTCCAGAATCATCCGATTAGCATTCTCGACCTGTCCATTTCCCTGGGGATAAGCCACTGATGACCGGATGGAGGTTGTCCCGATCGTGGCAAGAAAGTTTTGGAAGTACTGGCTTACAAACTGGCGGCCGTTGTCGCTGATGAGATGCAGGGGCACGCCAAAGCGGGAAATGACATTGCGCCGAAGAAACCTAGCACATTGTTGAGAAGTGATCGTGGTTAATGGCTCGGCCTCGATCCACTTGGAAAAATAGTCGATGGCGACAATAACGAACCTCCTCCGTCCGGATAGTTGTGGGAATGGCCCCAAAATATCCACCCCCCACCTTGCAAAAGGGATTACAGTCGTGACCGGCTGGTAAAATGTAGCCGGTCGTCCGGGCATCCGAGCGAACAACTGGCATGTCTCGCACTTCCTTTTCTAATTTCTCACAATCTAGCTGAAGAGACGGCCAGTAATACCTGATCAGCATGATACGGCGAGCTAACGATCGGCCTCCTTGATGTGACGAGCAGATGCCCGAATGCAATTCCTTCATAACCAAATCAGCTTCAAACGCAGTCAAGCAACGCTTGAGATGGCCACCATACGACCGCCTATACAGACGACCATCTTGCACCTGAAACCTAGGAGCTCTGAGCTTGGATTTCCGAGCACGTTGGGGGTCGTCTGGGAGCCGACCGTGCTCGAGGTACTCCATCAGATCTGTGATCCATGTGTCCTCCGCCGGTTGGATGGGTGCGGCCGGCAATCGGTGGATGTTGTGCCTGGGGATCACCAGAGTCCGAGCAATCTTCGACATATGTTCCGGGGCATCTTGAGCTAACATGGACAGAATATCCGCGTCAGCATTATCCAGTCGGGGAACATGTCAAACGGTGTACCCCCGGAACAAAGTGAGCTTTTCCATCGCCAGGTCCCGGTAAGCCTGTAGTCGCTCACCATTTACTTCATAATCACCCAGGACCTGCCCGACCACGAGTGCGGAATTAGTTTGAGCCCGGATGTATTCAGCCCCCAAGTCCCGAGCGCATTGCAGGCCATTGACAAAGGCCTCGTACTCGGCTTCGTTGTTGGTCGGGTGGAACTGATACATCAACGCAAAATATACTTTGAAACCCTCCGGGCTCGTGACCATGACTCCTCCTCCTGCTCCTCTCTTGCTACTTGATCCGTCGGTGGCCAACTACCACCACGCCGCTTCAGGGTCCTCGACCTCCGGAAGGCGGATCTCCCGAGCGGTGCACTCGACCAAGAAGTCTGCCAACGCTTGACGCTTTATTGCCGGTCGCGGTCGGTACTCAATAGCATACTGAGTCAGCATGAGCGCCCACTTAACTAAGCGCCCTGAAGAAGAAGCAGTTCGGAGAACTGGGCCGATCGGCTGATCGGTTAACACTCGAATGGCTCTACCTTGGATATAGGGAGCTAACTTCTTCGCTGCTATGTACAAAGCATAGACGACCTTCTCTAGCCGGGAGTACCGGAGCTCGGGCCCATGGAGCGGATGACTCACATAGTACACCGGTTGCTGGGCCCCTTCGGGATCAGTTCGGCACAAAACTGCGCTTACTGCTCGATCGGATACGGCGAGGTACACGTCTAGCTCTTCCCCGAGCTCTGGCTTCGATAGTACGATGGGTGACATGAGATATTCTTTCAACTCATCGAAAGCCGCTCGGTATTCATCGTCCCAGACAAATCCATTCACGTTGCGCAATACCTTGAAGAACGGTAGAGCGCGCTCGGCTAGCTTGGAGAGGAAACGGCTTAAAGCTGCCAACCGACCGGTCAATTGTTGAACCTCCCGAACGGTGGTGGGCGGTTGCATATCCAAAATAGCCTTGACCTTGGCCGGGTTGGGCTCGATCCCTCTCTTGGTCATCATATAGCCGAAGAATTTCCCCGTTTGAACCGCAAATGTGCACTTGGTCGGGTTCAATCTCAACTGATACCTACACATAATCTTAAAACATTCCCGGAGGTCCCGAGTGTGGTCGGATCGGTCCCGACTCTTGACCAGCATATCATCTATATATGCTTCCATCGTTCGGCCTAAAAGATCCGCAAAGAGCATGTTGACTATCCTCTGATATGTTGCTCCTGCGTTGTGAAGGCCGAACGGCATCACTCGGTAACAGTACAGCCCGTCCGGGGTCACGAAGGTTGTCTTACTCTCGTCTTCATGGTGCATCATTATCTGGTGATAACCCTTAAAAGCATCCATGAAGCTCATGAGCTCGGCCCCGGCCGTCTCGTCGACCATTTGATGAATACTCAGGAGTGGGTATGGGTCGAGCGGGCAGGCCTTGTTGAGGTTCGTAAAGTCAATGCACATCCTCCATGCCGGGGGCTTGAGAACAAGAACGATGTTAGCCACCCACTCGGGATAGATAACCGGTTGGATGTGCTCGATCGTCGCCATCTTTTTGACCTCTTCTCTGACGAATTCTCGGCGATTGAAAGATAAATGCCGCGTCTTCTGGACGGGCGACCGGCTTGGCCGCGAGATCTACAGCAAGCTTGTGGCATATGACTGTACGATCGATCCCGGGCATGTCCTCGGGCCCCCACGCAAAGATATCGGCAAACTCTCGGAGGATTGCCAGCACTTCTGATCGTAGCTCGGGGGTGAGAGCCTGGCCTATTTTGATCTTCCTGTCCGGTCGGTCCTCGGACAGGGGAACTTCCTCAATTTCTTCGGAAGGCTCGGGTTGCTCCTTCCAGTCACGGGTGGCCTCCTTCACGATCGTGTTCACCTGGGAAGACGTGCCAGCATCACATTTGTTGACGGCCCGGGTGTAACATTTCCTCGCGGATTGAACGTCTCCGCGAACCACACCGACCCTGTTCGGGGTGGGGAATTTCATGCATAGATGGGGCATTGAAATTATCCCACCGATCTTCATTATAGCGGGTTGGCCTAAGATGATGTTGTGGACGCAGTGCAAATTGACCACAACAAATTCCAACTCGGTCTTGACAGATTTTGGCGGGACGCCAATCTCGACCGGGAGTGTAATTTTCCCTTCGGGGCGAATAAGGGCCCCGGTGAATCCTGACAATGGTACACCAACCGGAATCAACTCACTTTTGTCCAGATTAAGCTTTTCAAAGACGTCCAAATAAAGGACATTAACACTGCTCCCCGTGTCCACCATGACACTGTGGACATCGGTCCCGTTCACGTCGATCGTGACCACGAGGGCTTCCAATCCGTGGTCACCGCTGTTGGGTTGATCCTCCAAGGTGAAGGTTATAGGCTCCATCTTTTCCCTTTTCCCGGTGTCACGGGAGTCTACGATCGCGACCGGACAGTTCTCCCTCGGTCGGGAGGCGTCTTCCAAACCGCCAAAAATCACATGGATGGTCGGTTTGCCCGCCGGTCGGCTGCTAGATGGAGGGTCGGGGTCTCTGCGGTCCTGACGATCCGACCGATCTGAGCGGTGGTGAGAGCGCCTGTGATCTCTCCGATCGTTATCTTTCTTCGTCTCTTTCCTTTTACCCACACACTTATTCAACTTTCCCAGATTCAACAAATCTTCCAATAGCTGTCTCAAGTGTGTGCACTCCTCCGTGTCATGCCCGGCACAACGATGATAAGCGCAGTGCTTAGACTTGTCCAGTCCGTCTTGTCCGGGATGAGGGTGGCGAATAAGATTGCAGGACTGAGCGTACTGCATGGCTTCCGCTGCGGATCGGTTCAAAGCCGTAAACTTGTCAGGCTGGGTGCGGGGTCGGGGATGATCATCACCCGATCGATGTTCCGCCGACCGGTGGGTTTCTGGGATGAAGTCCCGACCTCCTGCGATCTCTTGACGGCATTCGCTTCTCCGGCGTTAGCGTAATCTGTCACCCTTCGGAGGGCCTCTTCATACGTGGTGGGGGGTGGAGGATGAAGTCCTAGTATAAATAACCGGCCCGGAGGGAAATATGGAGCATATGGGTGGCGGTTGGATCATCCATTGGTTCAACCTCCCCGACCGCGGCCTTCCACTTGACCAGAAAGTCGGACAAGCTCTCCCCCTCCAACTGCTTGGCCTTTTCCAGATACATGTAGGGCTTTCTCACTATCTTGAAAGTAACAAACTTCCGCATAAACTTCATCGCCAGGGTAGCAAAATCAGAAATGGAACCCGACTGCAACGTTCGAAACCACTCCGCCGCCCTACCGGAAAGCGTGGAGTAGAAAGCCCTACACATCACGGCGTCTGATACGCCCATCATCATCATGTTTCCGTAGTAGGTGTTGACATGGACCTCAGGGTCCGTACGGCCATCATAACCCTTGTTCCCCGGGACTTGTATATCGAGCGGGTATGGCTGGGTCATTATCTCCGCTGTGAAGGGTGTCCTCAATAAGGAGGCTGATTGATCGACCAGGGGCCTCACTGCGTGCTCATTTCAAAACCGAGCGAATTCTGCCTGGAGGTCGTTGAGCAGTCCTCGGGTCTCGTTAAGCTCAGTCGTCTGGGCCTGGGTCGGCTCCCGGGCGTGTCGTCGACGATGTGATTTCGACCCACTATGTGCAGACGAACCCTCCTGGCTAGCCACTTGCATCGGTAGATCTACTGAGCGTCGGCTCAGGTCCTGTGGTCCCAATCGTTGCCGCATTGCTGGACGGAGCCGCTCAAATGCTACTGCCCGGTTGACTTCTTCAGGGTCTTCTGCTTGGGCTTGTATCTCCGGTTGTACCTGCTGAGCCTGCCGTGGTACCTCCATGGCCGCGGCACCCTGCGACCCCAACCTCGAACGAGCCGAGCGCCTAGCCCGAGAAGTGGGCTGAAGCTCCGGCTCGGTCGGTACAGTCGGGTAAATCAGAGGAGCGGGGGCTGGAGCCGTGTACGTAGGCGTATAAGGGGGATAGCCGGTTGGTGGTGTATAATACATTGGCTGCCTGGGCCAATATCCATATTGTGGTGGCGGGACCGGGTAAGGATACTGCGCGGGATACTGAAATTGTTGACCGGGTGGTGGATATCCCGGTTGAATGTAATTGACCGGTTGCTGGGCGGTCGGGTATTGTGACGCTGGGTGAGGCGGTGAGAGATTGAGATTTAGGTCAACGGTCTGACCCTGGTATTGAGTGGGCTGATGGTCGGATGAGCTCGCTGCATCTGTTTGATCATCGCCAAAGAGGTTATATGCGAATGGATACATTGTGATAGGTGGAACCGGTGCTCGTCAGACGATAGCTTTCTTGCACGGGTCCCCACGGACGGCGCCAAAATGATAGTACTAATTCCACGTAAAGCAGTCAAAGTAATAATACGACCAAATAAAGCAAGTTAATCTTTTATTGATCGTGTGATTGGACCTAATACAATCTAGGTGGCTATTCCGAGGGCCGACTGACTGCGGTCGGGATGCTCTGTAAATAGCCTATCGATCGTTCCAAAAGTCCCTCACACTGTTGTCGCCGTGGGTATTTATAGCCGCAAGGCCGGAGACACAGCTCCGGCCGGCCGGCATGTAGCCCACGTAGCAACCACGTGTCTTCACCCCGCAAGCCCTGCCTGTCAACGCCTAACGCTGCCACGTGCCTCTTCTTGACTCTCTCGTCTAAGGGCTATCGATCGGGAACTGAAGACTTCGGTCGGGCAAAGCGCCGGTCGGGCACGACCGGGTTCTTCTAAGAATATCCGACCTGTAACCTGCATAAACAAGAATAAAATACGTGGCATGTCGGTCGGGGTATTCCCTACCACACACATAAAAGCTAATTTTTACACGTGGATTGCACGACTGATTTAATGTCCAATATTTGTATTTAAATAAGTAATTCAAAGTACATCAATGCAAGATTATATCGGAGAAGTAATTTATAGTTGAATTAAAATTAATGTTCCCACTTTTCTAAAAATAATTATCTGAATACGTATTGTAGTTGGTATGATATTAGATAGTATATGCTACTTTTGGTTGGAATTACTATAAGTTTTGTTAATTTGCCTTTAGATAGGTTTGTCATTTTCTTCGTCTCCATTGCTTGTCCGTTTCTTTTTGTTGATAGTTTCTTATGTGCAATTGGGTTACTGGTGCTAATTTGCAAAAAGAACTCAAAAATATTATTGTTAGTTTTGGGTGATTATTGTTTCGGTTTCATGATTATATTGGATTTAAAGGTGTTGACTTTGTTGTACGAGTTGCAAACATGAAAATTTAATGAGTACGCATTACTTGCACAAATTGAATGCTAAAAATATACCAAAAGAGAAGTGATAGAGAATGGGCAAAATCATAGCATTGGCGTATCTTTTTCACTTATATCCGGAAGATGTCTAAGTTAAAGGGAGCCAATGAGGCACACTACCTTCAATCTGATTCGCCCAAAAAAAAAAAAAAAAAAAAAAAAAAAACACTTGAAGGCTCTACAAATTCTCTAACCCGGAAAGAATTAATCCTGATCAAAATCTGGCTTGTATGAAGGTGCAATTGCACTAAACTTTTTGCATTTGACAAAACAAAGGTGATTGAACCAGAAACATTGTTGTTATTTAACAGGAGTCACCACTTATCGTGATAGAATCGGTTGAAGAGGCAAGCAGTACGGGCCAATTAAATGTCTTAGGAATCAAAGATTTTGCTGGTGAGGCTCGGCTCAACCAATTGTTGCCACTCTCTTGTTTCCTATGTTTGCTTCAATACTTTACATGATTGGGATGAGGTTTGAACCTAAGACCTTCCTTATGACATTCCTTCAATACTTTACATGATTGATGAAATTAATTGACAACGACATTGATTCCCGTGGAGTATGTATACAGTCTAGCTAATTAATTGACCAAATTTAATGTTAAATTATGTCAACTATGATTGGGATGAGGTTCGAACCTAAGACCTACCTTATGCAAATCAATAAGTTAAGAATAATAAATAGTTAACAGAATATTACATTACTAAAATTTACACTAACTGAATGCATGGATTTTCAGGAAAAGTAAATGATATAATAAAGGTTAAGTAGGAAAAATTTAAAAAAAAAAAAATATCAAAATCAAAATAATATGAATCATTCATTTCAACAAACAATTGGACCAATATTTTTTAGTTTCATTATAGGTCTAACTTTATCGGCTCTTATTATTATTATTATTATTATTATTATTATTATTATTATTATTATTATTATATATATATATATATATATATATATATATATATATATATGCATATGCATATGCGATAGTGATCACGTGAATCCATGCATGAGACCAATGTGGTGCATTAAAAAAAAATTAGATATATGATTGAGATTAGTTGGGAGGGGTTCAAAATTCATTTGTGCATATGAGGCATGTGTTGTGTGCATATCCTATGTTGCACACAACACATGCTTAATATGCATGCACAAGTTTTGGATTTCCTAATTACACACAACACATGCTTAATATGAACACTCGAATTTTGAAACCTTTAATTGCACGCAATACATTCTCATATGCACACACGAATTTTGGACCCCCCACCCACCCACCCACCCAATGATCTCATCCATAAATCTATATTTTTAATACACTATATTGGTTTGATTCTCATAGACTCATGGGAGGATGGTTCCCATAGGAAAAAAAAAAAAAAAAAAACATATTTTACTTTGGTTGATAGAGAATTTATTTCAATGGAAAAATGAATTATTTGCTCTCTCTTGGTATTTTTTTTCCACACTTTTTGGGAGAAAAGTTACGACATAAATTTTTGTTTTACCCTCACATATTTTTACTATGTAGGTCCATTTGAATCTTTATACTAATTACTTGTTTTTCTAGGCGCTTTGCGCGAATAGAATAATGCCTAATACTTATTTTTAAATAAGTATTTCAAAGTATACCAATGCAATATTATATAGAAGATGTTCATGTATAGGTAAATAAATGTTAAATTTATTTATTTAAATTGGTAATTTAAAGTATATAAATGCAAGATAATATATGAGAGGTTGATTATATATAACTGTCACAAAAATAAATGTTTGCAACTTTGTAATAACGTTAATCTAGGTACTAAGTCTAAAAGCGATAGTCTAAATAAATATTATTTTTGATTAAAATTTTTCTAATTCTCTTTTAGGTAACATTGTTATTGTTTCCATCTTCAATACATGTCCTTTTTTTTTTTTTTTGTTATTGGTAATGTGTCATGTGCAATTGGGTTATTGGTAGTATCATAGAGGGATTCATCATGCAATGAGATTATGGTGTATGAAATTTTAGATTTGTCTTGTTGTGTATATGACTGAGATCTTAGTTGTGCATGCTATGAACTCTTTATCTTACAAGCACATGTTGATATTTGGTAACGGTAGTTTTTCCCTACATGTTTCACGTGTTGTGAGACATCTAATTCTAAATTAATTAAATGCATATATATTATTTTTTGTTGTAGCTGCTAATTTATTTTTTTTTAATTTAAGTAATAAGAGCAATAAAGTGGGAAAATTATGATGTAGGTGGACACGGTTCCAAAACTGTTCATAATTATGAATATATAGTTCAAAAATTATGAACATATAGTTCTATAATTATGAACATAGAGTTGTAAACATAATTATGAACATATAGTTCTGTAATTATGAATATAGAGATTCAATAATGTTGGAAAAATAGCATTAAAATGGCATTTTAAGTGGCTATTTTGTGGTACAATTATCGGTGGGGTCCACTTCCGATTTGGGTCGTGTCAAAGTGGATTCGGGTTCTTCGTAGTGAGACGAAAAGATTGATATATTGTACGCTCAAAACGGATAATGGGTGAATGAGATATTGATTCTCAAAGTAGACCCATTGACTTGGAAAAATGAAGGGAAAAGTGAGCTTTGTCCCACATTGGTTTGGAAAGAGGATTTGACCCCCCTTTTATACAAGAGCTTTTTTAGAGCTTGTAGAATTGTATAACATCGAGGCTCTCTCGCGCGGGGGGGGGGGGGGGGTGCAAATCAAATTCCAACTAGAGATGACTTCGGAAAAGCTTGATTCAAGCTCGAACTCGTGTGCGCCGGCACCTACGGGCACGAATGTCGTCCGGAAATTGGCTGTCTAGTTTCGGCCTAGGCCGAAACATTGACAGTTCCGTCCTAGCAGAATGCCAACGGACACCGGAAATTGGCTGTCTAGTGCCGAAACATTGACAGTTCCGTCCTAGCAGAATGCCAACGGACACCGGAAATTGGCTGTCTAGTTTCGGCCTAGGCCGAAACTAGACAGTTCCGTCCTGGCAGAATGCCAACGGACAAAAGTGTGAATATTCAGATGTTACATAGCCAAATGTAATGGCAATGATCAATGCTATTAAGTACTCCATCCCTATATAAGAAGGGTGTAATGGCAATGATCAATGCTATTAAGTACTCCATCCCTATATAAGAAGGGTAGAAGACAGAAGCTTTAGACACAACTAAGAACAAGCACAAGAGCTCTACACGATTTTTTTGTTTTCAAGCTTCAAAACACTTCTGCTTCTACTCCTTTCTTTGCCTAACTGTGTTCAAGGCTGTTGCTCTAGTTCGCCGGGTTCGTTCGTTTGGGTGCTCAAACGTCGAACCGTAGGGCGTTTTATCCTGGGAAACCTAGGCCACGGCGCTCCTAGCACTTTTGGGAGGTGGCAAATAAGGTTTTAAGGAAAGAGTGGTCTCTTGACTCACGCTAAAAAAACCCTTACCCAAACACGAGCCAATCTTTCCTTCTTTCGGTTTTGGATTATGCTTCTAAGCAAAAATCCTCCCTTCTTTTGATATATTCGTTGGATTGGACCTATAATCTGAGGATTATTTGTTCCTTTTTGGTTGATATATATTGGTATATCTTTTTCCGTAGATATACATATATATATATACATAACCGTTGGATCCGTTTTATATATATATTTGTGTGTGTATATATATATATATATATCTCGGATGAATATCAAATAATATTTTATATACTTGTGTGTGTATATATAAATATTATTTTACGATATTAAATCGATTTTTGGTTCATTATCACCAACAATCTTAAAACCTTATTTATTTTGATAATGAACAAATCGGTGGAGTCCAAGAGTATTGGATCCGTGAATGTTGCCGGAGGTGCACATTCAAATGGTAGGAACGGCAACGATGTTGCACATTCCGTGATGCCGGTTGACGGCGGCAACGTTGGAAATAATATTTCCATGGGAGT